ACATTCGTTGTACGGGTCGACTCTTGAGGCTGTTTCTGGTATTAGCCCGAATATAATCATCACGCATGCTATCTGAAATAATCCGCACAGTAATCCATTTTGTCCTGATGCAAAAACTTGTGTAAATATTGCATATTTCACAAACAATTGAACGGTTCGTCTCAAACGAAACACTTTTTGATGCAATGATGAAGAATTCACAAGAAAACTCTCGCTCGCACATTGGCACAGAAGAAATTTCTGAGCTGCCCACTGATTCACATTCACTTGTTTTCAGTGTTTTCAGCTCGCCTGCTTACTAACTACAAGCTCTCAAATCGCTCATCACTGATACAAGGAGCTGTTGGCTCTGAATTTGAATGGCAATAATTCAATTTGTATATTAAATCAAAGATCAATTAGAGCAAAGCGTGTGATTTCAAAGTGATTTCTTTGTTATCCACAACAAGGCCGGCATATATTGTCGATTCCGCTCGCAAAAGAATGCCCATCGAATTTGAATTTTTCGTTCCTGATTCATTCATTTGAGACGAAAATTATCCGATACTTGTAAAGATCTACAAGGAATATGCAAAAAGAAACCAAGGCACAAGTGATGAGCAGAAAAAAACAGCTGAGAAGCACTGAAGTGACGATACCCCATGGTTGCACGGCTACTATACTCATAAATTCCGGTATTTCCACTGAAAAGAAATAATTCATTTTCATATCACTTTGATAACCAACACTTTTCTTGCAAAATGATCGCGGTTCACGAGAAATGATCTTTTCAACTATGAAATCACTGTCCAAATTCTTAAATGTTCTCAAGTTTGACCAATAAAATCTCTCCAAAAAGCTTCAATAGTTCACCTCTCAAAAAGATCCGGCTATGGGCATTTTCATTTTCACTTTTATACTAATTAAATCAAGACATTCTGAACATGATACAAAATTTCCTTCATTCACTATCAGACTCAAAACAGCTGATCAAAACTGATGATCAAAATTATTGGTCAAAAACAGTGAGCCGTTTGGATTCGGTCAGTTAAGTAATTACCAACGTAATCCTCTGTCGGCACTATAGGCCATTCATTTTCATGAATCTTCGCGAATTCCGTTCCAACAAAGAAATTGTCAAACGATGGTGACGATGGAGCTGTTCTGCGTTTCCTGATCTCAATATTCTTCGATCGCTTTTTCACCTCAAATCTTTTGTTGCTTGTCGTCATAGAGGTGAAAGGTTCCATCTGGGTTGAAGTTGAGACGTTATGAGTGATTGTATTCCATCGTACGTGATCATATTCTGTTTCTGCTGAGACACTTAACTGTTTCAGTGCTGTTGTAGTATCGCGATTAGTTGAAGGTGATTCTGGGTTTGTTGATGCATTCATATTGATACGTTCCAGTGATAGGGTGGAGTCACTACTGATTGAGGCACNAGATGAAGAGGTTGCGAGTGAAGATCGTTGAGTGCTGCCATTAGATGACTTTGTTGATGACGTATAGCTGTTCGAGGCAAGAGATTCACTGGAATATATTTTAGTTTAATGAGATCGATTAAGATTAGTGGACACATATGCTGCTGACTATAGGCTCAAATTCTCCTGCACACAGTCAAAAAACAAATGGAACGAAAAGAATCGTAGAGATTCGTTCAGTTTGACCTATGATAAAACTAATCTGTAAATTTATCCTCACAATTTCATGCGCAGCAAACATTATCATATAATTCTGGACCAAGATAATCCTTAATCATTTGGACAATTCGGAAACATCTCACATCAACTTTCTTCTACTTGCCGTCTTCTTCGATCATTAATTATTTTCATTACTTTTTAGGAAGTGTAAAAATCAATAGGATGCCAGCATCTCTATGAAATAAATTAAAATTCGACGTTGACTTCGAAGCATATCTCACCTGTTCGCATACGAATAAATGAAATGATTCAACAATCGAAATCAAACCTGCTGGTTGATTGCTTCCGTTGCGCTGGAATTCGTTCAGTTCTTGATTCAGACCTACTGATTTCAAATGTTGATGGTTTGGCGACTGATTCTTCATCTGCAGAACTAAATCCTTATTGAGTGATCAAATGATGAAGAATTCACGAAAAAATGACCGACCATTGATCTGCTGTACAGAAACCACACAACTTATAGTAGGTCTTACGAGAGAGGTAATTGGATTAGCTGATAATGAAAGGCTTATAAACACTTTAGCAGTGATAAACTTCGTCCTTGTATTCTCTACTTGTAAGCAAGCTGAGCAAATCTCAGAATACACGAAACGGTCCTGATTATGGTTAACGTAATCAAAAACTTATACTCATTTTCAGTAGGATACAACACGCTTATATAACTCAACATTAGTTGAATGCATTTATAAAGTGTATGTAGAGCAATATTATATCACTGCTTAAAAGTAAGCAGCAACTGGATGAACTTACTCTAAGATTCCAAGAAATATGACCTCAATATCCTCAATATACTGAAGTATTTATGAACCCCAAAAAAACAAACTATCCAAAGTGTTGATAGTCATTAAACTCACGCAAGAGATTGGAATGTGTCGTCGACTGGGTCGTGACACCTGTCAACGAGTTCAGCAGTACGAACACTTTGATTACCCGCATAACAGGTGAAATATTATATTTAGTTTAGGTAAGGCAACAGGTGAAGGGTTTCGAGTGAACCTTAACAATTTACGGTTTCAGAGATAACATGCACACATATTCAAACGGTAATTCAATATCTTCACGCTACCGCCCATGCTCCTCGAGAACACCATTTCAAGCTTATTTGAAAACCACGCAGTTCCCTCATTCACTGAAGACCAGAACAATACGTTGAATCTTTTCTGAGTAGTCTACACAATAAGTCGTCGATTATCCGTTCAGTTCAACGAAAAGAAAGGAAATTTGTAATAAAATCAAATTACTTCTACATTCTTTGACTGGCAATAATGGTCTGAATGAAGCGGCTTTCTAGC